GCATTGGACGGATCCGAATATTCGACCAATACGAATGAGGCCAAATTGGCACCAACTCCGTTAACGGCAATTCCTAACGGGCCACTTGAACCACGCGAGAATGTAAGGAGGCACTATGAGCGGCTCACAAGCAACACCAACCTCCGCTGGCAATGTTAGGCACAAATAGGGTGTTAGATCGAGAAGGGCAAGAAAAGACATTGAAGAAAAACAACTCGAAGCTACAGCGACGCTAATGTCGCCCTCCCCTACACCATTGGCGCAACAGAACCACCTTTTGCAGCTGTAGGCGAGAACGTGTGCCAGCGGTCGTTGAAGCGCACATCCAGTGGACGACCACCATACATGTACGACGTAAACTTGGCTGCAGAAGGGGGGTTAGCCGCGGTACAGGTGATAAATAGTTCACGCACCAATTGCCGTCTCAGCCTCATCGACTTGGGTGAACTGGACAACGCCACAGCCCTTCGAGCGGGTACCGTCAAAGAGGATTTCGGCCAGCTCGACATTACCGGTGGTCTCGAACAGTTCAACAAGATCCTCGTTCGCCGTTGACCAAGGGAGCTGATTGATAACCATTAGTACAATGTCAAAGAGAACCGGCGGGCGTAATTGCTTACATTGCGAACCATGATTTGTTGGCTCGGTTCGGGCTGTACATAACCTCCATAGCTAGCGGGACCGCGGGGCATGTAGTTACCACTCGTTCCATTCCCAAACGCACCACCACCGTTGTTCATTTGTTGGTCAGGACCAGCATAGTCCGCGTATATGTCGCTGGAGAACCCACGGCCCTCGTTGTTGGCGGCAGCCACCGCAGCGGCAGCAGCGGGGCTTCCGTGATAACCTCCACGGAAGCCACCCCGGAAGCCGCCTCTGAAACCTCGCCCGCCGAAACCACCGCCATAGCCGCCACGTCCAAGGCCACCACGGCTGAATCCACGGTTGAATGTCGTCGAACCAGAGAGTCCCACATAGCGATCCTATGTCCGACCAGGCGTCAGCAGATCCGTCGCATAAACAATAAGGGACAGCGTACCTCCCGCACTTCGATTGTACGGCCGTACCACTCGTACCCATTGAACATACCTATCAAACCATGAGCATGGGAGTGAGCGGACCGCCTAAAACTCTTACTGATCGCATTCTGGGCATCTTTGGCTGTCTCGAAAATGACGGTCCCAGACCCCTTGGCACGGCCATCCAAGCCGATGTTGATATCCGCACGAATGATGCTACCAGCGCTACGGAATAGATCCTTGAGATCCTGCCAGCCCGCTTGGTAAGGAAGCTGTGCAGCGCTTTAGCTACGATCTTTCGCCAAGGAAAACCAGAATACGTACGTTCCCAACATAAAGTTGATTACCGGGGTTGCTTCCCTCGCGGAAAGGTGCAGGGCGAGGGGGATAACCACTAGACCCATTCAGTCCGGCAATGGCCATCCCCATTTTTCCTGGCACTGGAGTCGCGCCAAAGCGAGATTCGACTTCACGGTCCTGAAGAAGACGAATCGTATCGTATCAACTGTGATCGACAAGAAGCATACCTCTCGGATGAACACTGGACGGCCAAGAAGGTGTGTCTCGGAAAGTTCGCGAATCGATCGTTGAGCATCCTCCTGGTTGTGGAACTCCACAAGGCTACAACGGCGATGTCAGATACAACCAACGCGGCATAATGATCAACTCTCACCCGCAGCCCTTTGAGACACCGGTGGGGGTGACCAATACTTCAGCAAATGCAACCTCTCCAACTGCAACCAAGAACAAGTCCCGCGGACCCTCTGATCAATACAACCAGCCTTGACCAAAACTCCATCCAAAATTAGAGAAGAAACGACGCCTATATGAAGGGGCGTCCGAGGTGAGGGGCGAGCACGGCTCGCGGCGAAGGGTGGCTTTTGTCAACAGACGGCGTCACCATCATTTCGATCCTCCACATCCTCATCACAGCATCAACGTCACAAAACCTCCCCAAACCAGAGCCAAACCAGACCAGACTGAACTCTCCACCCACCAGGCCTAAAGAATTCTATGAGATCGCCATATTTGACGTCGTAGCTGAGGTTGCCGACGTAAACTCGGTTTTCCTTCTTGCTGATTTTTGCGAATTCCGCCGCGTCCTCGTGAGGCGCGTTGACGGGACCACCGAGGGAACGAGGAATACGTTCCGAGGCCCTTTCCTTCCGAGAGTGGTCACGAGAACGGGAGCGTGAACGAGATCGCGAGCGTGACCGGCTGTAAGAGCGGCGACGGGATTTGCGAACAGGAGACGACGATCGACGGCGGGAGCGAGAGCGAGAACGTCGTCGACGCTGGAAAACCGGTGTTAAATGGAAATAATAAACCAAACCACGGAAGGAACTTACATCTTCGCCACGCCTAGAGTCCCAATAATCACTTTTGCGGCGGTCTTCAGCAAGCAGTCAGTTGGTGCGGAAAGGAGAGTACGAATGTAGAAGACGTACGCTCGCGCTCTCTGTCGCGCTCCCTGGACCTGTCCCGCCTGTCTCGAGAACGGTCCCGACGGTCCCTGTCCCTGCTACGACTTCTGTCCCGTCGGTTGGACCTCTCATCGTCCTTCCTCACCTCCTTATCCATAACCATATCTTCAACTTTCATGTCCGCATCCATGCCGAATAAGAGTTTCTGGAGATGGATAGCAAACGGAGGTTATTGATGGTTTCGTGTCGGCTCAGTCGAAACCGAAAGTTGTAAAATGGTGTTTCAATCCCCGACACGGACGGACCGTCAACAAGTCCGACGCATGACTCAATGCATCAGCCAACCACCGCATTACCCGTCACACACAGTATCCTCTCC